AGCATCCTACCCTGCCTGGGCTTTATGCAGAGACCAGAATTAGATCCATAACTGAGCAACTATATGTAGCCGCATAAAAGAGATTTCTTCAGAAAGACTACCTCACAGATCACGCATGCGTTTTCTTCTATAACATCAGAAACTGGCAACCATGCGGACTCTGCTGTCAAAACGTTAGGGTTTTTGATGGGCTGTGAAGTAACAGAGTAACAGAATGGCTGAGGTTGGAGGGGACCCCTAGAGATCATCAAGTCCAACCCCCCTGCTCAAGCAGGGACCCCTAGAGCATGTGGCACAGGGTCACATCCAGGCAGGTTTGGAAGATCTTCAGAGAAGGAGACTTCACAACCTCTCCGGGCAGCCTGTTCCAGGGCTCAGTCACCCTCATAGTAAAGAAGTTCTTCCTCATATAGAGATTAAACTTACTATGTTTCAGCCTGCACGCATTACCCCTTGTTCTGTCACCAACCACCACAGGAAAGAGCCTGGCCCCATCCTCCCTATATTCACCCCTCAGGTACTTGAATATGTTGATCAAATCTCCTCTCAGCCTTCTCTTCTCCAGATTATAGAGGCCCAGCTTGCTTAGTCTCTCTTCATACGACAAATGCTCCAGTCCCTTAATCATCTTCATGGCCCTATGCTGGACCCTTTCTAGAAACTCAATGCCCTTCTTGTGCTGGGGAGCACAGAACGGCACCCAATACTCCAGTTGCGGCCTCACCAGAGCTGAGCAGAGGGGCAGAATCATCTCCCTCCACCTGCTGGCAACGCTCCTCCTGATACAGGCCAGGATCCCATTGGCCTTCTTGGCCACAAGGGCACATTGCCGACTCATGGTTAACCTGTCAACCAGGACTCCCAAATTCCTCTCTGGGGAGCTGCTTTCCAGCAGGTCAGCCCCTAATCTGTACCAGTGCCTGAGGTTGTTCCTCCCCAGGTGCAGGACTCTGCACTTGTCCTTGTTGAACATCATGAGGTTCCTCTCTGCTCACCTCTCCATTCTGTCTAGGTCTGCCTTGGGGAAAAACAATGGCAGCTTCAAATTAAAACCTAAGTAAAGTAAGGATGCAAATGACAATGAAATTGATTTTTTTTTTTGGGGGGGGGGGGTGTTTATTTTTTTAATAAAAATGTAGGGTTGCCAATGCTCACGCAACTCCATTAACAGTCTCAGCCAAACCCAAAAGCGGTTGTTCCAGCCACAGAGGAGTTTGTTGCACTGGGAGCACCAGCCCATGTCAATAAACCCTTACATAGCTCTGGGCTGATCACTCAGCCTCTGGATATAAATAGATGTGAGAAACCCTCCTCACCTGTTGTTGGCCTCACAGTCAATTTTCCATCATCCAAACATGTTACAAATTACAATATTTGAGTGCTGTTCCAGATACATATAAAGCTGAGATAGACAGTATTAAGCCAGAAATTATTCAAGATCACAAATGTGCAAAGCCTTGGGATTCAGGCCAAGTTTTCTTTCTTCAGATCTACTGTGAACACAAAATATCTAGTTAGAAAACTTTATACTGTACAGAACCTTTCAGGTGCACGATGTCCCAGACACATAAACAAATGACAACCATCATAATGCTAAATAATGAAAAGCAGTAGATGACATAAGAAAGCGTTAGCAAAAGAAGTAGAGGAACGAGTGGCTGTGAGGCAAAGTTATGGCCATGCAAAATCATCAGCCTTTATGGAACTGCACAAACAAAGGCATCGGTCAAGCAACTATGGGAACAAGAGCAATCTCTAAATTAAAAAAAAAAAAAAAGAGAGAGAGAGAGAAAGAAAAAAGCAAAAAGCTTCCTAATATGATATAATAATACAATACTACTACTACTACAATGGTCAAAGCATAAAGACCCTAATATTAGCACAGCTATATCTGTGTAAAAGCCATCTTATTAGCATAGCCAATTTCCCTTCTGCATGGAATTAGCTTAAAGCATTTGCACTGACAATGCATCACCACCACGAAGTTTTACACCTTAAAATATTACATACTCTGACAGTATAAACAGAGAAGAACAAGGGCGTAGATAAGTGTGTCTCTGGCAGAAGCACGTGCATGGATGGGTGCACAAAGGGGACCCAACTGAAGGGAGCAACAAACCCCCAAAACCTGCAACTTTTCAGTCCTGGACTCCAACGCGGGCAGAATTTTTACTTTCTGGTCTCAAAAGCAGTGGTGGCAAAACATGCTAATCAGCTGTGAAAGTACAGCCTTTGCTTGTCTGGGGCAATTAGCACAGAGCTCTGCAAGCTCCTTCATTGCTGCCAACTGTGCTCAGACATTGTATGGAGCTTTTAAGGACAGGGGCCAGGCTTGTTTGCCAAACACTCTTACTGTTTTTCAGCTAAAGATACCAAGGCAGAGTTACAGGTTTAAAGGTTTGGGTCAGCTCTAATTTTAGCCCGAGTAGTTTTCTCACCTCTGCTGATATCAAAGGCTCTATCACATATCAGGATTCAGTGCCAGCTGTTAGGGATTTGGTAGGGATTGACTCCCACGCTGACTCCCATCACAGGGTGGCTGAGGTTAGAAGGACTCCCTGCATCATGACTTAACAGCAGTGAAATAGCCACCTCAGTGCAGCCCTTCTCCCCCTCTCGAGGGGGATGGGCTTTCACAGCTGGTTCCCAAGCCCACACACAACCTCGGCACAGAACAAGTTCTACCAAAATCACCTTTTTTACTCTCTATGACCCATTCCCATCTGTGCAAAAACCATTTTCTTCAGATGGATTCATTGCATCTTCAAAGGGGCAGCATGGACATTATTTACAGCATGAGTCTTCAGCCTCAGCACCAGCACTCAGAAAGCATCCCCCTTTCTCATGCTCTGCTGTGCTCACACCCCACTTAGACAACTATAGGTCGCTTATGGCCACTAAATGCTTCTCTGGAGACACTCAGCACCCGCTCCACAGATCCACCCTCAGGAGTCCTCCACATCTCACCCAGGTGCTTCACTTTCCCTCCTTCTTCTACATGTACCTACTTCCCTTACTACCACTCAGTAATGTTCCTCTCCAATACTTGTGACTACTTATCTTTCTTAGGTTTTCCTCATTTCCTTACCCACCCTCTTTTGCTACCCTCTCCACTTGCCTTCTTTTCTTTACTTTTCCAACCCCCAGGGCCATCTCTTTGGCGGTGGCAGGGCACTGCTGTGGTGGGCGGGGGGTTACCTTTCCCCAAGGAGCTCAGGGCACCAGGGTCCAACTAGCACATTTGCTCAGCACAAGCACTCTGGATCACAGGTGAACAGCATCACCACACACATTCTTTAAGTCTGGGGGAAAAGAAAATGCCTGCTTGAGGAAATTATGAATTTCCCCCTCCCTGCCATCTATCCCCACATTTCTTACCTTCAGCAAGCAGGACAAGACAGTCTGTCACAGCCAGCTTCTTTCTTGAGGGTCTGGCAGGATGCACTGCAGAGTCTACCAGTGTAGGAGATAATCTTACACTTGTTCCACTGCACTGACTTCTCCAGGGAATTAACAGCTATGCTGCACTTTAAAAGCAGTAATCAAATGAACTAAACTTCCCTCGCAAGTGTAGCTTTTTTTTTTTTTTTTTTTTTTTTTATATTTTCTGGTGGGCCTTCTGGAATAAAGTGCTAGTAGAAATAATTTAGAAAAAGACAATACTGAAAATTATTCCAGAGCTGGAAAAATGTCCAGCATTACTCTATTGCTTGTGTCTTCCATGAACCTTATAGCATCTTAATAGCTTGTTGCTCCCACCCAGGCAAGGACATGGCAGGAGAGTTCACCTGAGCTGAATTAACCCCTGCCCCATTAGACTCTGGGATCTCCCTCCTCACTGAAGGCAGAGTCACTGTGTCAGCTGAATTTGATCCTCCTGTGGTAGCAGCCTCCCCCTCATGGGGAAACTGTCGCAGCTGGGAAGGAGAAAAAAAAAATACATCCAGGCAGAAAATAGGTACTGGCAGGCAACGCTTTATTTGCACCAACTACACGGAGCAACATACATGGAAGTAGCACTCCAGGCAAAGAGGAAACCAGTTACACAGGTTACTTTTAAACCTACTTTGCAAATGCTACAATTAAATACACAGAACCAGGTTCTGGGAGGCTGCTCTTGATGTGCATAAAAGCCTCTTCCCCCTCTGTGTTCCCAAGGGCTGCAGCCAGTCACGGAGGACACAAAACCCAAGACATTATTTAAGAGATGACCCCAAATGCAAGGATAATATCTGGCAAGTTGGAGCCCCATATTAAATGTAAAAAATAAATAGAGCAAAAAACCTAAGAGCCTGAAACCCTTGGACTGGGCAGATCTCCTGGCCTCCCAGCTTTGTATAAGGACCTGTGTCTGCCAAGAGCCCGTGCTTCTCCTCCTGGATCTACCTGCGTGGGTCCAGCGCACCTCATAGCTTTGATTCCCACTCCTTCTCACCCATGTGCATTGCCGGGTCCCTGTCTGCCCCTCCTCCTGAATCTTGATTGCAGAAGATTTTTTGGTCCACACATAAAGCAAACTGCTCGCTTTTCCCAGGATAGAAATAAAAACATTGTGAAAATATATATATTAAAAAATGACGCCTTGGCCCGTGGTCACCTTCTCCCTGGCACCCATGAGACACCCCACAGGAGCCTTGCAGAGGCGCCTGGGACCGTGGGGCAGATGGAGCAAGTGGTGATTCCCCACTGACCCCACTTCACATCGTGGGTGGGCAGGAACCCACAGGGTCTCCACCACTCTGCTCCCAGGCGAGGCCAGCTCATCCTGCAAACCCAGTGCTCCTAGGGCCCTGCTCCCACTCCCTCAGTATATACATGTATACAACATATGCCCTTCTCTTATTCCTTAAATACATATATAAATATATTATCTTCTTTTTTATTATTATTTTAGTTACAAATGGCATTAACACACAACTTTTCCTCTCTGTGCCTATGCAAACTTTTTGTGGACATTGAGCTCAAGAATTAAAACGTTTGAAAAATATGTGTTCTTTTTTTTAAAGCCTACTTCCAGATACGCTATGTACAGGCAAAGCCGTGGGGGCCGCGGCGCTGCGCACGTTGCCGCCACGGCCTGGCAGTGACCCATTGCCCATGGTGCTGCCCAGCAGGTGCCACAGGACAGGCAGGACGTAGCGCTCCACCACCGGTCGCCTCCGCCGTGACACGGACGCCACGAGCACTGTGGGCCAGAGACACAGGCCTCTTAGGAACCTTCGGGGGACAAGCACCTGCCTTCAGGGCCTGCAAGGGGTTCCCGGCTCTGTAACACTTATGCTCCACCAGACACAATGACCAACCACCGCCCGGGACCTTGATTCCCTCATCTCAGAGGCTTCGTATCCACCAAGGCAGAACCACTCAAACTACCCATGTGTGCCTTGCACACCGCCTTGTCACCCACATCTGTATGCAAAATGATAAATAACGGCAAATCTCTCTACCTCCATGGGGGCAAGATCTCAGCTAGCCTCAGAAAGTTTTGGAAATGGAGCTTAAGAACTTAAATAAAAAGAGCAATTGCGTTTTTGTGACCTTTGAGGAAAAAAATGCCACAAGTCTAATCTGCCAGCTCCCATTGCTTGGCAGCACATAGTAAATGGCAATATCATACCACATTTCAAGACTCCGGCCCACAAAAGATGTGTGATACTTGACAGTATTATTGGATATGCCAGTGAATAAATGATATCTTTGGCACAACGGTCTAATTTGAGATTTTTCTTGTACTTGTGATCTGCTCTCAGACCCTGTTCTGAACCAAACAGGTAACTATATTAAATACAAACAAAAATTTACTACCAGCTGGTCCCTTGTATGGTAGTTTTTGCTGAAAGATCAAGATCTGAAATGGTCTGGAGACCAAGGCCTATTTTGTGTTTGGTGAAAGTGCTAGGCAGCAAGCATATATATTATTCCGCAGTGGAAGGACCTTCATCTTCTCTACCCTGTTAATCTAGCATCAGTCACCAACATTTAATAGCTGCTGGAAGCACATAAAACAAGGCAGCAAAGGGTTATGGTCCTTATTTTAAAATGGGAGTTGATTTGAGTTTTAATGCTATTAAACGCTGGTCTCTATGGAGTTTGAAGGGAAAAGAGCTGTCTGTACCCACTAAATCCCAGAGAGAACATCAGCTCTGTCTAAACTAGTCCCAATTTATGTTCAACTGCTTTACTGGGGAGAAAAAAGAAAAAAAAAAGATTAAAATAACTGTAGAATTAAATTCCACATTCATGCAGATTTACTTCATTCAAATTATCTTTAAAGGCCTTTTTATGTTCACCATGGCTAAACACACCCTTTTGAGATGCATAATGAAGAAGCAAACTGTATTAAACCCTGGATTAAGAGATGCTGGCATAATTAGCAGTGAATTTAGACCTAATTAAAGTAAGGCTATAAATAGTCCTTAGTCTATATTGAGATTATCATTTTTCCATTTCTTGGCTGTTGCTGTACATAATAAGCTACTATTATAAATCAATTATCAGCTGTATTTTTAGTGTGCAGAACAGCACTGAAATAGAAGTAGACTGTGTTTGCACATCCTGAAATAATCAGAGTGCAACATCTTATCTGCAGGAGCGGCAGGAAGCCTGAATGGCCAGAACTGGACTCTCTATTTCTGCCCCTCTCTCCCCAAATCCTGCCTTGCCCACTCTCCCTGCCTCTTGTGCCTGTGCACAGTTCTTGCCCATGCTGCAACCATGCTTCAAAAGCTTCCAACAAGAAAACAAGATTTCTCCTCCAGGAATAATCACTGACTCCTGGAAATACCACTGGTCATAAATTTTTATATGGGATGGACATTTGCTTTAGAAAAGAGAACTCATAGAGACCTCCTTGACCTTCACTGTCCACATGGAGAGAGGCAGTGAGGGTATTTTTAGAGTCTCTTTCCCAAGCAGTCTCACCGGCAACTCAACACTGGCAGAGGCTACTAAGCCACTGTGGAGGTGCATTTTGAAGGGATTGCACCAGCCACAGGGCAGGGACAAGCCCTGGACTGTCTGCAGCTCAGTGAGCTCTGCACTAGGTTTTCTCAAAACATCTGCATTTCCCAAGAGTCTTTTTGATTTAAAAGCCCAGAGGAGGTGAAGCAGGAGATACCTGACAGACGGTCGGTGACATCCTGCATGGCTCGGCCACTGAGGAAACGCACTCGGTTGGCAAGTGCTTGCAGCAGCAATACATTATCTGAAAGAGAAGATTTATTTCTACTCATCCTCCCAAGGATATAAGCCAACAAAAGGGTGGGGGGAATTACATTTTGTAAAATAGAGCGTATTTCAGCCAACTTCAGAGTTCTCACATTCTTTCTTTCTTTCAAGCTTACCTGGGAGACTAAATTCAAAAGTAAAACTTCACATTTCACAGCTGTAAACATAAAATTAATCACAGCACAAAGAGCTATGCTACATATTTCACACTTAGATCCTCAAAATTTAAATCGTTTTTAAGTATTGCATAGGATTTCCATGCCAGAGCTTTGCAGAGGTGAATTTCCCCACCTTTAAGAGAGAGGTGAGACTGCTCAAAAGTCCACACATATTTT